TACACCGTTTGTTTAAGGGTGGTCGATGGAATATCATAAACAAATAGCAGCTGCCTCCCATCCAAATATTTTTGCACACTCAAAAAACCGAAAATGATCCGATTCCAACTTGCTGGAAAGTGCAATGAGGGGCTCCGATGGATCCCACGAAAGGAGAGGGAAACTCGCTTTTGGAAACAGCCATCCAGCTTTGCTTTCATTGTCACTTGTTTTCGGCTCACTTGTTTTCATGGCAGATGCACGGGGCTGCCGGCCGCTTTGTATGTTGATAATAACAATATTGGCCGGAACTTGGGGTTGTTTTCTGAAATGTGGCCGAGCATTCATCCACTGTAATGAATATTGTAATTATCAACAGTTCATGGACACAATTGCAGGCCAATAAATGGGATCACATTCGGAATGATGGCTAGTATTATTTTGTTCAACCATTTACCGGTTTTAATGCGTCGAGTTTCTCGTTGAGTGAGGATAAATCAAATTATAAAATAGCAGTCAGTAAGGGTAAAGGTCAGTATAGGCATGGCTTTTAGCCAAAACTATGCTGGTGGCGGTGTATTCGATTCCGGTCTTAGAACATTTCAATTTACCTGATGTCAATTTTTAAGTCTTCGCGTTGAAATGCTCAAACGGTTCCAAATTTGATTTAATGTGTTTGAAGCTGACTTTACCCAAACTAATTTAAGCTCACCTGGAAATTACTTAGAGAAAACTATTGAAGATTGCCATATAAAGGGTAGATAATTTAGAAATGGGGCACTTTCAAATGCGTGTATTTTTTAAACTTTTCATTCAATCGATAAACCGGAATGTAACATCTGGCTTAGCCCGAATTTGTTTGCCTTCTTCTCCTGGAAAATACTTCCAACTTTTCTAAATGATTCTACCGAACTACTTAAGGAAGCTTTTTTTTTAACCTTTGCCCGAAGTTTTAATTTTTTTCCGAAAATGTCTTTCATCCACCGGAAGCTGTTTCTGATTCCACGAGAAATATTTTTACCTTCAGCTGAAAACGTTGCCGACTTCCGCTTCTGATTTCGTATTTTGCACAAAAGTTGCTTCGGTCTTCTCCGGCAGAATGCTATAAACTTTGCCCCGACATCTCCGAGAAAGCTCTTTAGCGTCCTTCGGAAGTATCACGCGATTGAGCCTTAGCAAATTAATAGTAAAATGAGTGAATAAAGCTGGGTTGTCTTGTTGTATCTAAACCAGTGTCGGGTAGTTGTTTTCGATGACCGCCGGCCACGCAGTGGCCATATCCTGGTTCTCCGGATAATCTGGATTGACCGATAATTAATTATAATTAATCCAAGTTAAATTCTTAGTAATTAAATGATTCTGAACAAAATAGAAAAAAATCACAAGGTTCTAGGACATTTTTTTATGATGTGGACACTTTATCGGTCATTTCAGATCCTCCTTAAGGCCAGTAGAGTTTCTCTGAGGGCGTATATGGTGTCTTTACACCATATTTACATAGAAATATCAGTTTTCAGTAATATACTTTAAGTAAAGTGTAAAATTATGTCGATAGATAGTGGCATTTCCTACCACGTTACTGTTTCGGCAAAAACAACTAGCTGAAACCAGCACCATTTGTGCTCTATATTACTGTGAGCTCTGTTATAAATATACATAGGGTTTTTGTTTTACTTTCTGTACTACTAAGCACACTCCGCACTTTGCCTCTCTTTTGTTAACGGGTTTAAAAAAAAATTAATACTGTAAATTTTTTTTTTTTTGCCAGCGTTGGTGGTGTAGTGGTAAGCGTGACTGCTTTCTCACCCCAATGGGTCTGGGTTCAATCCCAGTCGAGGTCGGTGGGATTTTTCTGATGCATACAAATCTCTGGTCACGTCTTGCTTCGGAAGGGAAGTGAATCCGTTGGTCCCAGCCCATGTGTGCGATATCCTACGCAGGAGTGGAAGCTGCCTTTTTGCTCTCTATATATACTCTCTATCTCTCTATATATACTCTCTCTATATATATACTCTCTCTCTATATATACTCTCTCTCTATATATTCTCTCTCTCTGTATATACTCTCTATATACAATTTTCACACTGCCGTACACAGGAAAAACTAATTTTAATATCACATCACAGTGGATGGACTTGCCAAAAAGGGTGAAATTATTATTAATATAGTGCATGAACAGACATTACACTGCTTTTACTGCATTTGTTTATTTTTGGGGCCATTAAAATTAGATGAGAGTTTCGATATGATTGAAATGCATTCTCTTGGGTGTAATATTAAAGTTTAGTTTTTGCTGTGTACTCTAACGGAACTATCAACACTATACTTTCATCTCCTCATCTCCTTCTTCTTTCCTTTATTTAACGTCGGTTTCTGTTCCGCAATCTAGTGCCAATCACCCGAGTAAAGCTGGAGATCAAATTGAAATCAAAATTTGCTGTTATGATGTAACTTATTGTGAATACTCCAGTTGATCTCATTTTGGTTGACTTAACGGTTAACACAGCAAAAATGAGAGCAAAATTTTACACTGTTGAAGCAAACGGAAAACTAATCCTGCTTTCAATTAAATCAATTTGATTACTGATTTTGCATTCATAATGTTTAACTGAATACGGGCCTGGAGTTAATGGTTAGCATTCATGCTTCTCACGCTGAAAGACTTGGGCTCAAACCTCACCCCGGGCAAGTCACGAATGATCTAAAATGTGTTAAACAAAACAAATAAACAATAATCATTAGTTCAACGACAGATGAACTTCAATTAAATTTTAAACAAGACGTTAACAGCAGAACTTCAAGTTAAGTTGCTTTCATTTAAAAAGTCTTGACTGCATAATGAAAGCACAATATGATATCAGACTTATGTCGCGACATTTGAAATCAAAATGAGTTTTCATTATGATAGGAACTGCACACTTTAATATCGATTTGCTTTCATTTTGTTAACCGACTTTGCTCGGGCACCGACGGACATCGATTGCCATCAATTGACGGCAACCGAATGTGCAGGAAGGCATCTTCCACACCTGCGTATGATATCGCACCCTTTCAAACATACATGGGCCGGGACCAACGGCTTTACTTCCCTTCCAAAGAAAGACGTGACCAGAGATTTTTATGCCTCAGAAAAATCCCACCGACCTCGGCTGGGATTGAACCCAGACCCATTGGGGTGAGAAAGCAGTCACGCTTACCACTACACCACCGGCACCGGCTATCTCCTCATGCATCGTATAAAATATCGATTATTTGAAATGTAGCATCTTCAACTATGAAACAATTTAATGTTTCTATCGAATATGACTTCTAGATGTATTCACCTTTCATCTGAATTTGCTAAAGAGTCACAAATGGTTGAGATAATATTAACATTCTATCACTGATTTTTTGTTCCAAATCTGTCCTACAAGTTTCAATTCCGTCCAAACGCCATCCAATTTTCTTCATCCTACGGATGACGGTATGCAAAGTGGATTCCCTGGAGCGCTTCTTTTGTTTTGAGAAAAGTGAGTGTAAATTTTCATACAATGTGATCTAATAGGCTTTGTGTTGTAGCGTATGAACTACCGCATTGGAACAAACATCTTTGCTGTCCTTTTCCTGCTCATTTCCAATTCCCATGACATTCTGGCAAAACAAATGATGCTGGCCACCAATAAAAAAAGATTGTAAAATGATCAACGCATCGCATGCTTATCTATCAAACATTGATGTAACTGTAAAAAATCAGATGCAATTATGCATTTCTGAATGTAAATTTGACTGCAAATTTTGTGTACGTCGTACAAGGCGCGGTTCAAGGTAATATTACACATCCGATGGAATGGCCTGCGTGTTATGTTTCATTGTAATATTCCATGACACAGTGTTCACTCGGCTGTTGACAAAAGCAGGCCACTCTCGATGTGTGCCACGCGATCATCTGTTTTCTCGGAGCAACCATTGTGTGGTCCTCCTCATTGTTCTTCAGCAGTTCTTTCGGTCGATGCGTCGTCGACATTGGAAAGCAACCGTTTAGTGATCAGTTTGTGAGTGCTGACCATGTTTTGCGTCCATTGCTGCAATGGAAGCGCTCTGACCCCCGTTGGCGTAACTGCCATACAATTAAACCACTGGAAGCGCATCCCGTTCTCATGGAGGAGGCTTATTGAATAGCGGAAGATCAAGTTTTTATTGTGTTGTACCTTTTATCTATAGTTTTAAGATGTTTTGTATAGTTTCGGCTCTGTAAAGTTAATTCGTTTGAGCCTTATCAAATAAATTAATAAACAACAATATTCCATGACATGTTTTGCAGTGAACGTCGATTGAGGTAAGATTCCCCACGCCTCTCGCCTCGGAGTTTAGTGTACTGTAATTCACCCCTTACAAGTCGTATTTGTTTTTTACCGGCCCCCATGAGGCATGGATGTTAATCTCTATGACAGACTTCTATATGGTTGAGAGTCTTAGGCTGTGTTCCATTTGGTGAATTTTCACTTACATTTGACACTTTGAAAATAAATTAAAATGTTCGAAAATCCCTCTGTTGTTGATCATCCGATTTTCGCGATGGTGTTAATCAAAATTGATTCCTGATCGATCAGAAATAAGTCCTGTACAATAGCAGGTTTATTTAAAAAAATCCATCTGTCAAATTTAAGTGAAAATTCACCAACTGGAACACAGCCTTAGTAATGGATATTTCTTGATAACCAAGGTCATAAATAATTTGTTCGATTCTCTTCATCGACTTTCTCTGTGGATAACCACGGCTACGTGAGATCAAATATCAATCATAACAGAGAACGTCTTTACGACTGAAAGTGGTTATAAAAGTTTTCACACAATTTGCTTGTAAAATTCTAAAGTTCAACTTTGTATAACTATCACTAGAACTAATCATGAAGATGGTGACACATTTTTTTTCCATCACTCGATTGTTTTAGAAAACCACAGAATTGCCCCCCACCCCCCCCCCCCTTTCCTACTTCTATCTAATTTTCATTACCGACGCTGACGTATTTAACTTCACCTACCTGTAATTAGTGTTGAGCTGCACGCTGTTGATGGCCACATTGTCAAACTTATTGGCCGTTGTCCACCGGGCCCAGTAGTACGTGAAATCGGTGGATGGTTGCTGTTCGCTGAAGCGGCACTTGAGCGTAAGGGTTTCGCCTTCCCGGGTGTCCAAGTTTTCATCTGCCCGAGCCGTGACCACTGCCACCGCTAGTAAGGTGAACACTGCAAAGTAGAAAAGTAAAAAGCAACTAATTAGTACCGGAGAAATAAATTGCAATCCAAGCATGTCTAAGCACGATTAAAAAAAAACGATAACGTTGAACGTAGAAAATCCGAGATCCGATCAGTTGTAAGCCAAGGAGTGGATTTTTTTGCGTTTCCAACAATGTTGGATACTTTTTCCCAGTATTTCGCAAAATTTGTAACGGAATCCATTGCCTTTACATGTTTACGCAAATATGCTTTGGTCAGGGCGCAAAAAAATTCGATTGGGTGGCTGGCCTGGGGACAGTTTGGCGGATTCATCTCCTTCGGTACGAGTTGGACCTTGTTGGCTTTTAACCAGGCTACCGTGTCCTTGGAGTAATAAACCGACGCCAAATCCGGCCAAAACAGTACTGAGACGTCGTGTTTGCGGATCATGCGTAACAGACCCTTGTTTAAACACACACAAAAAGGCATTTAATTTCGAAGCCCTGAGACCGACACATGTAAGCGGCCCTTTTGACATAAGAATGAGTTGAAAAAAAAAACGAGAAAATCAATTCAATCAAACGTTCTCTTCGTCGACTTGCTAATGTTTTGGTTTGAGAAAACTTAATTTTACATGAAATGTTTATTTACGTTCCATGGATTTACGTCTCGTGTAAAAGTACTTATTTCTAAGTGTGCACTCACGCACGTAAACATCGGTTGTCATTGTCTACGTTGTCACAAATAGTTTGGAAAGCATACCACACTCACAAATGGCTTGCCAAACCATAGCCTTTTTACCGAATTTTCGGTATGAATCGACTTATCCGCGTCGTCAACACTTCTGCTATCACGAACGGTGTAGTATTGATCACCAGGAAGAGTTTTGTAATCAAATTTAACGTATGATTCATCGTCCACCGATTTTCCGCACAGCAATTGGTCGTATAACTTCCGAGCCCTCGGTTTGACGGATGCGGCTTGTTTCTCACTCCGCTTTGGCTTCTTCTGATTCTTTTACGTATTTAGACCCATTCTTGCCTTGGCCCGCTGGATGTTACTCTTCAAGGATCCCACTCTCGAACCGAAGCACTTTTCTTATGAGTGAAATCTTGCACGATTTTTCGGTCCAGATCTCGGTCGACAGAGTTCGGTTTACGTCCAGATTTTTGCTTGTCCTGGAAAGTTGCTTCATCACCATACTTCCGAATCGCGTTTCGAACGGCTTCGATGCTTACACCTTCCAATTTCGCTAATTGACTCAGAGAAATGTTTGGAATAGTACACCATTTTTGCACGATCTGTTTGCGCTTTTCCGGAGAAATGCTTCGCATTGTCACGGAAATGTAACGAACCGACACTTGCGATACACACAACTGTGGTCGAATTTTTTTTTTTTTTTTGTATATTAATTTATTTGATAAGGCTCAACCGAATTAACTTAACAGAGCCGAGGATTCATGGTCACTATACAATACATCTTAAAGCTATAGTCAAAAGGTACAACACAATAAACACTTTATCTTCCGCTATCCAAAAAGCCTCCTCCATCAGAACTGGAGCCGCTTCCAGTAGTTTCATTGTATGGCAAATTGTTGTACGCCAACGAGGGTCAGAGCGCGTCCATTGCAGTAATGGACGCAAAACGTGGTCAGCACTCACACAATCATCACGAAACGGTTGCTTTCCAAAGTCAACGACGCATCGACCGAAAGAACTGCTGATGAAGAACAATGAGGAGGACCACACAATGGTTGCTGCCGAGTAAACAGACGATCGCGTAGCACACATCGAGAGTGGCCTGCTTTCGTCGTCAGCCGAGTGAACACTGTTGGTCGAAATGTAAACAATGATTCAGCGTGATAATCAGCTGTTTAAACGTCATCTTAAACAAACAGGGGTGTTACAAAGTCGTGCTTAGACTTTTTGAGACACCCTATAGGTGGTATTTGTTAGTGTTTATTTTTCTACTGGATGTCGGTGTTTGCGCTGTTGCTAATTCAAAGGGATTGTAAAATAAATTTGCATTTAAATATGACCAAATAGTTGCATAAGTGCCTTACTTAAATCCGGATATGATTTTTCAAGCTCTCAGAATATGTTAATTCAATCCGAAACTGGAAAATCTTGCAGCCCACATTTTTGATTGTCAAGATTCCAAACTTCAGTGGGTTCACAGCTCCACACATTCCAACGATTATTTAATATATGCGTAGCTGAAACCTTGACCGATATTTTTTTAATATCCCATACCACATAACACAGTTTAACTTCATGCAAAATAACACTGAGCGTTCACAAGAACCAATGTTGAAAACGGAAACAATGGCTTCTTGCGTAAATTTTTCGTATTTCAAAGTCAACCCATGTCAACCCAATTCTATCAGATAGGGGGACTCTCCCTCTACACAATCATCGTGGTGGTTTACTTGAGTGGTTTTTCATTCTTGAGAAATTCGTCGAAAAAGTAATTGTTTACATTTGCAACATTTTCTCTTTTAAAAGAGAAGCAGTTATATGGTTGCATGCTCAGTAAGCATTGACGTTTTTTCGATGACTCTGCATTGCAACGCTTTACTCCTATGGTATAATCTCACAAACATCTGTCAATCTTTGCATGAAATCTATCGAACTTTGTATTATGTCTTCACTCCACCATGGTACCAGTGCAGCGCCGTCTCTTGACGCAAAGCTTGACAGTATCTTATGGGATTTTTATAGGAGTAAAAGGGTAAGGAAATGTCGAACATGTTTCACGCACAGGGATGATGAGAATTTAACATAGGAGAAAAGAGCTACTGAGTGGCCGAAAAGGCGATTTGTATGTTATTATTTGTATATTATTGTATAAGCGTTATTAACCAGTAATATTTTTCAATGTGCTCTTAGAAAGTCAACTTATGAATGTTATGATTTCAGCGCGAAATTTTTCTGAAAAAGCAAGAAATAAAACTAGGGTTAGTGTGCCAGTTTTATGCCCTAGAGGTGCTCGAATTAGCCCTATATTAAATTCCCACATTCATCAGGTTTAAATTACACATTTTTGCATTTTTTTTATGATACAAGGTTCGAACATATGTTTAATCTGAAAATATATTTCAAATTGGATTTAGGCCCTAGGGCAAACAACTGGACCGCTAGTGTCAAAACTAGTAAAGTAACCCTACGTAGAATAGATCCAAACGATTACTTTCGTTTGTAAATAGTGCTTAATCTTGATAGGAAAAATAGCCGTTCCTGGTAACTTTGAGGAGTCTTAGCCTGGGACCTTAGCCATAGTGGTCGAACAAAGTTTGTTAGGATCTGGTTTCAACCCTCCTTTCCCTTTTAGATCAATCTTTCCACGTTTTTTAGTACAAAGTAATTGGAGTAGATATTTGTATTGGGGTTTGAGCAAACGTTTGCAATTGGCCGCAGTTGAGAAACAAATGGAGGGTTGAATCCTTAGGTATTACAGGTATCGAAGTGCTCGATTCGATTTATCGTCCAGCTTGCAAAATTCTTGCGAATGGAACGATGGTCACCGCAAAACACTGCATATTTTCAGCTTAAACCGGGCCACTTGTTGCAAAATTATCCTGCTTCGCTCTGGACTTCAAAATGTATGCAGTAAACTACTAATTTGCGCAGTCGTATTTTTCCTCCTACGATACCTGGTCAATTTGAAAAAGTTTAACGAAAAAAATGGTACAAACATTCTTCTTTTAAGTTTACAGAAATAAAATAGAAAAAATATACCCGCGCAAATTTAGAATTAGAAGAATTAAACGGAGTGTTAAGAGGGCGTACACTCACGATCATCTGGGTGGGGTCACCCCCAAAATAACATGCAAATGTGTTATGTTCATATCTCTGTAATGTTACGTACAATTTTCGATCTCTTTAGGTAATTTGAAAGGTATTGAATGGAACTTTATTTGTAGACAAATTTTAATACTAATAATTCTTCCAAATTAACAACATATAAAAATATACTCTGAAGAATCATGGCTGGTTTTCTAATAATTGGGTAGGCCAAATTTTGAAATGAAAGTAAAAGCAGAACCTTTATTCTTTACCCAACGAGCCGCTTTAGTGAAATTTTGGATGAACAATTAATAAAATATATTGGCAACATATGCCAGATACTAATATAATTATCATAAATCTTACATCAGTCAACTAAGTAACCAAGAAGCCAACTAACTGCCGATTTGGCAAGTGCAGTGCAAGACTAATATATGGTTATGTCAACCGTGTTCTCGCTTATTTGGTAAAAAGGACATTTAGTGGACATGATGATTACTTGGATATGTCATCCCTATTTAGCCAAATGGAGCCAAAAAGATATTATTTTTCAGATTGATCGCCCTGATGCTACCAGATGTCTCTTAAGAAAAGCTGTTAGGAAGATACTGTCTAAGTACGTTTCGTCATATGTCACCATTGTCTGGACATTTCTGCTGTTTAAACTTCAACGAGAACTACCAACAGAGCAAAATGCAATTCCGCTAAAGTAGGTATCCGTTTGCAAAATAAAACACTCCCCAGCGTTTATCACCTCATTTGTTTAAACTTTTTCCGTTGTACATAGGTCGCGGGCCGTTGCTTGTTGGTTTTACTCGCATTTTTACAGTCGGATTTAATAAAGTCCACTTTATGGCTGCCGCCGCGTTGCTTTCGTTGCCTTGCCTACGTATTCTAAAGGGGCTTCTGTGAAACGGGTGCGTGTGATGGTGATAGGTATAATGCGGATTCACGCCTTGCGAGCGACAGGCTATTGTTGGACACACATACAAGACTGGGGCGCGACACGCAATGTGACACCACAGAAGTCAGTGGCGACAATGGTTGCGGAGAGCTATACACTTTACAGGGTTGTTTTTTTGTGATGGTTTCAATCAACATCAACAACATTATTGATTTTTTAATTCTTGCATTTTGAAGTCAAGTAAATAAATGCTACTACTTTTCCCTTGCTTATTATATTCTTATGGCAGCGCATGGAGCAAATGACTACTAAGCCTTCTGAACAGTTAAGTCAGTTCAGG